TTATTTTTTTTTTTTTTTTTTTTTTTTTTTTTTTACCAATTATCTGGTGTGAACAAATCCTGAACTCCATTAAAAGAAAAACTGAAAAATCCAAATCTGAATGAATGAATTTTCTTCTTTGGGAGAAAGAGGAAAATAGGCTAAAATTTGATATGAATTAAAATTAATAGGCCAATAATTTACATAAGTTAATAAATAGGCTAAATTACTATTTTCGTCAATAACTTATTTGGTTAGGAACCAGACAAGTTATTATCCATAATTGTCCATAACTTGTTTGGTTATGAACCATGGCTTGACAAATTTATCCATAATTTATTTGGTTATAAACCATAACTTGACAAGTTATGGCCTATTAATTTTTATAACTAAAAATTTACCTATATACTTTCTTAAACTTTTTATATTGACTTATTTTTTACTATTTTTTTCTTTTATCTCCCGCTGTAGTACTTGTCTAAGTGAGCCCAACATCTTTGTTGGAGTTATAAGCCCAAGTATATTGCATAGAATAGAAAAGCCAGACATTAAAAGTAATTATTTGCAAAACAATATATGAAACATTGTACAAACTTTTCAACCCAATTCCAAGTGGGAAATATAATAGTAGAATGCAACGTACGTCCCGACTGCTGATTATTCTAAGTGCATGAATCTACACAGTAAGACTCCGGGGTGCTAATCGCCACGTGCGAAATGGCGTAATGAGATAAGATCTTCAAAATTTACCTCCACAAGGCTGCTTGACTACGGTCAACGTTACCTGATAAACGTAAGAAGATTATTATAAGAGGAAGCCGAAAAAAATAACGACCAAGAAGAGGTCAAATCCATATTACACTTTCGGTGATTATAAGAAACTTATAATAGAGTGTGCCAATTCAGGTAGAATCTTCTTACAAGATCTCCTGGCAGATATTTTTTACTATTTTCTTTTGAAGATAAAATTTTATACACAATTAAAAAGTTTTACAGACATCAATCATAATACGGATGATCATGTGATACAAAATACAAAATACTCGATAAAAATTGGTTTCATCAATGAATTCTAATGATA